TGTTAGAAAGGATTTAATAGATTGTCGAATCCATACTCCATTCTGGAAGGTGGCGGTAATGCACCTAAAAGTTGTTTGCCAACCGCCATTAAAAAAAGAGAAGAAGAAGAATCAGGTGTGCTGGAGCAGGGACACTTGGGAAACATGCAGGGCAGGGTGCCTTGAGGAGCAGGTCTGGGAAACACTGCTCTAACCTGTCACCCTGCAGAATATCCTACTGCACGGTGGACCGGCTGCACCACAGGGTCTTCGCCTACATCGCTCAGAACACGCTCAACGGCACGCTGGAGTGCCACGCCTACCTCTGCTCCAAGAGGAAAGTGGTGAGTGATCTACAGGCAGTTAGAAAAGCATCTGCCTTTGCTTTCACAGTTCTGGTCGCTCAGACTTTGACCTCCTTCAGTAAAGAAATCATGTCCTACATCCTTAAGAGGATGTTAAAAAACAAACCCAAAATGAAAACAGAGGACAGGTATTTCTCTCAAGAGAGCTAAGAAACGAGCTCTCGTGCAGGGGGGGCAACTCCGGGCCTGGAGAGCCACTGTCCTGCAGGTTTTAGAGGTGTCCCTGCTTCTGCACACCTGATCCAGATCAGACTGATCTCTTCTAAAGGAGCTCCAGCTCTGAACAGGACTGCTGATGCTGTGATGATGTGAATCAGGTGTGCAGAAGCTGGGAAACCTCTAAAACCTGCAGGACAGCGGCTCTCCAGGCCCGGAGTTGCCCCCCCTGCTCTAGTGGGTTGCATCCGGGACGTTAAAACGCAGTAAATCACACACACCTCATTTGTCTGCTGCTCGCTGCTCAGCGGCCAAAAAGGGAAGAAAAAACCCAACGTTTCAAACCCACAAACACTGAGCTGAGCTTGGAGAGTACCGTGAACAACAGTGTCGTCTCATTCTCTTTGATTTGCCTGAAACAGCTCACAGAAACAAATAACTTTCAACTCTACACAGGACAGAGAAGGAATTATGGGATGTTTTTTTTTGGAAACTGCCCTGTTTGAACGTGTTGAGAGCTCTAGTGGTGTGTCGGGATGAGCTTTGGACATCTGTCTCTGTTGTGTCTGCTATTGAAACGTGTGATTATGTCTGATTGAGAAATCCTTTTTCTTAAGTGCATCTGGATTTATGATGGCTCATGCCTACATTTTTGGTTTTGATGAAGGAATGGAGTGTTTGTCTGTGTAAATCAGAGTTCTCTGGGCTCCCACCGATGGAGGGGTCAGAGTGGTGGGATTCGGCTGTTTGCCTGATGTCCACTGCTTTTCATATTCAGCCTGCAGCTGGATGTCACTGGTGCTGATGAGCCCCCCCCCTCTCGGTTACAAAGCCTGTTTTTTCCCGCCCCTTCTCTCCAGGCTCAGGCGGTGGCTTTGACAGTAGCGCAGGCCTTCACTGTAGCCTTCGAGCTCTGGCAAGCGGGCGGAGAAGGTAAGTGCCCCCCCCCCCCCCCCCCGCGCCGCCGACCCCCCCCCTTCAGTCCAAAAAACAAAAAAAAACTGCTGAGCAGTTTCAGGTAAGGGATCTTGACCTGCTCATGCGGGGCCCTGGTGCTCCGTGCTGTTTGTTTTCTAGAGAAAGGTCAGCGAGGGCAGTGTGGTTCTGCTGGAGATGCGGGCAGCAGCTCCCACTCAGAGAGGTCCAACAGCTTCGGGAGCCTCAAAGAGATAGGTACCCCGGTTCTTTTTCCAAACAGATTCACTTCATTACATTTGCATGAGTCCCTGCCTGCGTGACTGGTCTCCTCTGGCTCAGATGCGGTCACAGAGAGCCTTCTGGACCTGGAGGAGCGTGGGAGCGGAGGCCAGCACCAGCTGGATGACCACTGGCTGCCCCAGACCAACAACAGTCCTGCCAGGGTAGCTCTTCCTCCCTCTCTGCTGGCCTTGGCTCACTACACCGGAGGCTTTTTGGTTCAGTTTCATTCATCAGAGGTGTGTTTTCTTGCAGGAAATGGAGGACAGTTTGGATGAGGCCTTTTCCAGGTGAGGTGTTTAGAGAGAGCCAACACCATAGCTGAAAACGTTTGGTTCTTTTTGCTGCTTGTTAGCAGTGAAACACCCCAGGACTGTGTAGCGGGATGTAGTTCCCTCACAGCCGCGTTGCTGGGCCTCAGGGCGCCACCCGCTGGTGATTCCTGTGCACTGCAGCACACACACCTCCCGGCCTCTGATTTCTTTAGAGGTAGCAGCTAAATGTGTGTTTGTGTTCCAGCTGTGCTCTGGATAGCATTGGTTGGTTTCCAGGTAAAGTGGAGCTTCACGGTTGACCCTGACAGTTTGTTGGCTTCCATCCCTAACCCGGCACCGGCCTGTTCGGACTCCACCTAACCCATAACACTGCTTCCAGCTCAGTCATGTCGGCCTCTAGTTAGAAGTAGATAGAGAACTAATCCTGTAGAGAGATTCCTTTGCATTTAGAGATGTTGCTGACATCTCCTCTGGTGTGTATACTCTTTGCTTGCGTGCTGGGGGGGGGCAGAGGCTGCTCCTCCCCGGGGCCTCTGTGGAGCTGCTCCGGTCACTGTCTCCAGTCTGAAAGCAGAGCAGTGGGGCAGCGTTTTATCGACCTGATGGAACCCAGACTTTTTCAAACTCTTATTGCACCACACAGAAAAAAGGGGGGGGGGGGTATGTCTGGAGCCCAGCGAGGGGACAGAGTATGGAACAGCTTTAACTGTGGACAGGCGGGTATTAAATGCTAAGGCAATAAAGGGGAACTCAAATCAAATCAGAAAAAGGTCCAAATGAATGAAAGACTGCTTCCTAAATTTGGATTGACTTTTATTTCAATGACAGATTATTAAACCCTCAAATTCAAAGACTCAAAGATTCTCATTTGAATCTGTTCTTTTGCATTTCAGACATACAGCAGAATCCCATTCCCTCTCACGTCCTCTACTCTATTTTAAACAAGCCGTTATAAGGTGGAATATGGACTTTATGCACAGAGAGGTAACTGGTGGTGTTTACTTGCCCTCATGGACGGATGACCGTTTCATTAATCAGGGCTGAGCGTCCCTTTTAAACCTGCCCCTTTTGTGCTAAAGTCCCCCCAGACTCTTGAAATATTTCATGGGATTTTGCACGGTAAGATGGAGAAATATGCAAACCCATGTCAGTTTTCCACGTGGATCTTTTTTATTTCCTCCCAGTTGTTGGCAAACCTTTCAATGAAATACTTTTGGTTCAATGCAATGAAGCACAACCAAAGCCAATGTCAGTCGCAGCTTTTAAAGATTTTTGTTCATCTTTATTGCATTTTCCATCCAAAATCCTCTTTTCCTACTTTAGGCTCGTTGTAGTGACAGTTTCTATCTGTTCAAACATCAATTTTCCTACTTACGAGTCTGATGGTGAAACATAAGAGAAAAAAAAGGGATAGTTTTTTCAAAAAACAACTTCTGAGTTTTTGTCTGTGGGACAGTGTTTTGGTGTAGCCTGCCAATAATCAATAATATCCAGTTTAAATCATGTTCAAATGACCCAGACCAGTGGGAATTTACCACCTTTGTCTTCGCCTCATGCCCAGAGACTGCCTCAACTGGCCCAATGTGCCAGAGACCTCTGGTTGGGTTGGACAAATGTTTGAAATTAGCCATTAAGCCATTCATTCTTCACGTTGTTATGCCACCATCATGCATGCTGTACCTCCACATGTACCAGGACAAAATATCACCCTAGTCCAGGCAATGCTGAAAGAGATGAAAGAGATTGGTGGTTGGCACAGGCTTTGGTCTTCTCATGGGGCTAATGGACCCAAAGCATGAAAAGATTAACACCTTTTCTCCCCCCCCCCCCCACAGACTGGCAGTGTCACGTACTGACCCCCAGGTCCTGGACGCTGGGCTGATGCCCCTGGACTGGCTCAGGGAGCCCGACTGGGGGCGCAGCAGCGGGGACGGGCCCGGCAGCTTCGGCTGCTACCACCGTGACCTCTGACCTCTGAGGGCCTGGC